GTAATTGTGACTAGTCGACTAATCGTGGCAGCCCTAGTGGGAAAAGTACAAGATTTTTATGGAAAATAACAATTTTACCTGCGTGGATTTCGCCTGGATTATCCGTCTCTGGCCCAGAGGAATGCGAGACTTGTGGTGGCTGTTTTGATCTCGCTCTCCCATCAAATTTCACTGTCTTATCAGCTTTCAACTCAGTATGACCAAGATGGATAGAGGGTGCCCAGTCTGGATCGCTTTCCATCATTTTGTAGGCTGGTTTGCCTACAAAATACAACAAACATTAGCCCGCAAAGCCACCGTAAACAAAGCAGCATAGCGCAAAGAATTTAATTCAAATGAATATAAGACTTATCTGTGACCTACATCAACAATAATGTTATGATAAATGACTTAACTACAACACATACACACTCACCTTTGTGGAAATGCTTGGAGCAGACTAACATGTGAGGTGGAGTGTTCTGGAACGTTATATTTGGTCTTCCAATAGCTGCAATCCAGGCCATCCGTTGCCTCTTCGTGACTTCGGAAACATCACTTGCATAATTTTTATTCCACGCAGGAATCCGATAAAAACCGATTCCTTTAGCCTTCGGCTTCCCGTGGCTGTTATGCGACCGGCTATGGCAGTTAATAATACAACAGCTCCTTGCCATTTGTGTCTCTGTTTGTCTGTGTGACTGTTGTCTTGTAATAGCGCTCGCGCTCTAGCCGCTTGTACCTACAATCCTTTGCGGTTTTAGCCCGGAAATGACGTCACATTTACCGTTTTAGACTGTATGTATTTAGTTTTTTTTATACGAAACCCCCTGACATTGTGTTTTGTTAATTTGTATCTGTATTTTGTCAATAAAGCGTATTTAAAAAACAACAACAAAAAAAAAACAAAAACCAAATCGCGGGTCCGTACTCGCATTCTCGGCAAGTACGTACTCCCGTGCAGAGAACGCGAGAACTTGCGTACTTGAGAATTGAGAAAGGGCCATGGTCTGCAGGTCCGCCTCACCGTGTGAGCTAAGCAGCTATGCTTCAAATAAAAAATCGTATGAGGTACAGCTCGCTGGGTATCGCTGCAGCGCGCCTGTTTTCTCCCGGCCCCGTCGAGAACCCGGTAGTATTTTTGGACATCGATGCTGACAGCGATCCTCTGGGGAGAATAATCATTGAGGTAGCTTGCTATTATCATAGTCGCCTCCAAAGACCTTGATCTGACCTGTAGCGTTCATATCTGTCAGTATACTGACAGATCTGCCAGATCTGTGCAGATAAGTGCTTGTGATTTGTTTTATCTTGCAGCTGAATGTAGATGTGGTGCCAAAGACTGCAGGTAGGTGAAGCCACGTTCTTCCCACGATGGGCTCATCGTCATTCATTTAAAAAATCCTTTCGATCCACAGAAAACTTCAGGGCTCTGTGCACCGGGGAGCATGGCTTTGGGTACAAGGGATCTGTGTTTCACAGGGTCATCCCCGAGTTCATGTGTCAGGTACAGTTTACAGTGAAGGTGCAGTGTCATTTGGCATGTTTTCTGTTGTTGCTGTTGTGTTTTTCTCTTGCAGGGAGGAGATTTTACCAACCACAACGGTACAGGAGGGAAATCTATTTATGGGAAAACGTTTAAAGATGAAAACTTCAAGTTAAAGCACACTGGTCCAGGTACAGCTCCACAGCTTTGAGGGGTTACACTAAAATAATAAAAACCCTTTTCACATATTCAAAACATGCAACGTCAGTCAGTCATTTCAACTCTGTGATCAGTGAATACAAAACCTTTCACCACTGTTTTAAGACTTAAACACCAAGTGGTTTTATACTGTTATCAAACCATGTACTGACTTTGGAAGGAGTATTGCAAAATGTAGGCCTACTGTGGCCTCAGACACAAAAATGAAATGTGAAGGATTTATTTGAAACAACTAATCAGCCAATCATATGTCAGCAACTCAAAGCATTTTAGGCTTGTAGCCTGCTGAAGTTCAAACCAGGCATCAGAATGGGGAAGAAAGGTGATTGAACGTGGCATGGTTGTTCGTGCCAGATGGGCTGGTCTGAGTATTTCAGAAACTGCTGATCTGCTGGGATTTTCCCTCATAAAGATCTCTAGAGTTTACAGAAGTAATTTGACTAAAAACAGTAACGTGCTGCTGGACAGTGTTCAGGAAAGTGAAAAATTTTGAGTTCTGATAAAAGTCTAAACTGTTTTGGAAAGAAACTCAGGTGAGAAGGACATCAACACAGTGATAAAAGTATCTTTAGCAGTGAAGTATGGAGCTGTGTGCAAAGAAACGATATAGGTGGGGGAAGGTCTTACTGATTAGAGAACTTCATTAGGAGAAGTGAAAATTGCACCAAAACTGAACTTCCAGGTGTTGTGTGCCAGCTGTTCTTCTGTATTTTAATCCCACTTTTTCTCCACTAGATGGCAGTGCAGAATCTCATGCAGCGCTCAAACTGCTGGGCATATACATTTTGCAATCCTCTTGTGAATGACCTAGTTTTTAGTGAGTCAACATGCACTAATCAAAATAACTGTGTTTGTTGAATAAACATCATCCATGTGCACATTATTTAGTGCTTTGCGTAATCACAGCATGCGTCAGATCACAAGAGAAGAGGCCCTTTTTTTTTCTTTTCTTTTTTACAATCTTGCATGGCGTTGCTGTAATGAGGCCTAGATGTCCTTGGATCAGGAGTAAAAAGGACATCAAGATCTTGTTTACAGCATCTAGTTCAATTGATTTCTTTTTCTTCTTCTTCTATGGTTTTCTGCAGGAACGCTTTCAATGGCAAATTCGGGCCCGAACACCAACGGCTCGCAGTTCTTCATCTGCACAACGAAAACCGAGTGGTAAACACCCCGTAGAACTTTTTAATCAGTCATTTCAGACTCCAGTTCGTGCCTCATCAATCACAAGCTGCTGGAGCCACTTTTTCATCTTTTCTTTTTCGTTTTCTTGTCTTTCTTTTTGGGCAGGCTTGATGGTAAACACGTGGTGTTCGGTCAGGTGAAGGATGGGATGGATGTGGTCTCCAAGATGGAATCCTTTGGTTTACACGACGGCGGTGTGATCAAAAAAATTGTCATCACAGACTGCGGCGAGATCAAATGACGCCCGAGCGCACTCACAGACTTCTTCTGGATGAGTCATTGTGCAGCAATCTAGTATTTACTCTGTCCTGGCTCGTGTGTTCGTGCACTCTGAAGGCGGGGCTGCAGGTGATCAGCTTTTACTCAAATCTGTGCTTTTTAACTTCTGGTTTTGAGGTTGAGCAAAGCCAGAGGTTTCTAACGCTCAGACAGACCTTTTTACTCTCTAAAATCTTTACTCGACTGATCTAAATTGTATGCAAGCATGTAAAACAATTGTGTGGTGACTCATTCTCCAATAACTGCCAAATAAATGACCGATATTTTTCGACTTTACCAGCTCTGGTCTTACTGCAAGACATTTGCTCTGATGCGCCACAAATCTTGCTGCTTTTAAAGCTTCCCGGAAACGATCCAGCGTGCTTTTTTTAGACACGGGCTCCAGCGCGACTGACTTCCTGTCCATCAAGAGCAGGATGTGACATCATGTGACATTCCACCTACACTGCAGCTGAAGCATCACATGTATGCACGATGGGCATGTGAGCTAGAGCCTCTTAGGGTGAAGTCGTTTCAGGACCTGAAATTGCTTTTTTATTGAGACGCATGGCGTCTTGGAGAGGGAGAGAGACATGTCTGAAAGCCAGAGACTGGGTGGTGCTGCTTATCGAGCTAATACTTTATAAAAGTAAATAATGAAGAAGAAAAAGGCAGCTCTTGCCCCTAAATGAAACCATATGTGCGCTGACCTTCCTCCGTTTGTTTGAATTCTCAGATTACATTGTTGCCATAGAGATTTTTCGGCTCTCGCTCTGTTTGAGCTGGAGATGTTGTAACAAACTTGATATAATTTGGGTCCCCACCCTCGGGTTTAGTTTTAGTATTTTGGAATGCATGTCCAATAATGTGTATGGAAACTTGGCTCCGGAGACGACTGTGCCATTTCTTTTTACCACACATGCAAAACAATGACATCTTTACAGCTGGTGCATGCTCCTGCTTCTCTAAGTGTCTGCGTTATCACAGAGTCAGTGGGCATCGTTTTGTGGGGGGGTTTTCCTGTCCACAAGTGTTGGGAAATGGGGGAGGGGGTGTTCGTCCTGGCCGGTTTACATGTCTGTTATCTCTCAGCACTTTCATGGCAAGTGGAAAAAAAATGTTTTCCAAGTCCCTCGCTCTTCTGCATTACACAACCACCATGAATAATCCATTAAAAGCCCCTTTATCGTAATCTATACGCTTAGTGTTGCGTAAGCCTTGCACTCAAGAGCGATGGCAAAAACACTAACGAGAGGAGCGCTCACAAAAACAACGTGTTGCTTTTGGCTGAAATCAGACACCAGAACGAACACCTCCCAGTTAACATAAATTTGGCACAGGACCCGAAAACAAATAAAACTGCGCAACCCGGGAGGCTTTAATTCAATGTGACTTTTATTCATCAAACTCTGAACAGCACTAAAATGTTTTCCCAACTAACAAATAAGGCACATTTTGGAATGCCGTTTTCATGGACATGAAAAACAGACCTGTGGTCGACTCTCGAGGCCACGACTGTCCTTGCTTCCCATAATCATTGTCTTTCCCGACCGCACGCCTGCGTTCTGTCCAAATCAAATATTACATTATTGCAATACTGCATGACAAACATCTCAAGTGATACAGACAGTAAAGAATACAAACGAGACTCTCTGACTCGACCACTTAAGTGTTAACACGTTACATTCAGTAAATATGTATTATCTGCAGAGGCTACATTTGCGGTAAATGAGGACTAATAACAATCAGACGTTGCTGATAATGTTAAAAACAATATTTACTTTAGCAAACTACTGTAAGGTATTTAAATAGGTATACATTGCACAAAAAAGGGGATATTTCATTCAAAACACATGCACATGCAAACTCTAAAATAGTTCTTTGTCACACACGCTTCCTTGACAGAAGTATACACTCGCTACACTACCAATATAACATTTTATAATAGTTTCTTGTTATCGCTGCTGTAACCAAACTACATCTCACAGTTTAATGCGTTTATACAGTGGTGAGTATCCGTCACTAATTAATAAAAACATACTTTTCTGCATGTTAACACATTATATTTTCATAATATCGTTTACAAAATGAATACACGTGGCTGTATGGATGCATATGGCAGCTCATAATTAGTCACATAGCAACTGAATAATGGGTTATTCAACTCTGATAACATCAATAAATCAAAAACACACACAGGAAAAAAAATACAATGGCTTATAATTGAGAAAGGTTATTAATTATGTACCAGCTTTTTTTTCTTTTTAATAATATTCTATGTAGACATCAATATTTCCTTCTTAGTGTAACTTTGTTGCATATTCTATACAAAAAGTGTTGTAAAAAGTCTTTCCATAAATATTTCTGCAGGATAACCCTTCAGATTATTGTAAAACATAAAGAAGAAGAAAAAAAACAACAACTCCCAGCTTTGATTATTTCTCAGCAATAGGCCCTTCTTCACGCCGGAAAGAGAAAAAGCTTTGATATTGCTTCAACACTTCAAAAGAGCTACTATCATTGAAAACGATGGCCATCAAATATATACATAAAACAGTCGATCTTTGTCAGGGAAATAACTCTTGATTTTT